GGTGACTGACTCACCCTGGATGTCTTCCCGGATGGACCTTCTTTTCCGTCCTCACTTGCTTGGTCCTCAGTTTCCAAGACCCTATATGTGTTGCTGAATATATTTCATGTATGTTCTTGCATATATTTCAATGTCTGTTGTCTCGAAATATACTGGAAATTGTTTCAAGATATTATGCATTATTCTGATCATATATAGGTTTTCTTTTAATAAAGTTGTATTAAGCAGTCATTGGAGAAGTTACTGCTAATGCAAGCAGGTGTAGACTCATTGAAGCTTTGTACTTCTTAGACTATCCAAAATTCTTATTTGCAACATATATAAGAGCAGCGGATATTTCGGTATACCTACTACCATCTATATATTGCCATACAGAATTTTCTTTGATAAATTTTCCTATGTGGTTTACATTATTGGTTATAACAAAATGATGTCTTACTAAGTGAAAGTTGTAGCTTTCAGGTGTTTGAAATGTTATCCTCAGAGTCTTTCATATAAAATTAAAGTTGGATGGTCTTACTTTAGAGTATGTATTTACATATGCAAGTCAGGATGTCTTTTTATTTGTTCACCATTTACAAAATTGAAGCTACCAGATGTGGTTTTGTGCTTGATACAGGGTAAACATAGTTGGTGGTGAAGTGTTAGTGAATTCAGTTACCCCACAGAATATAGGTTGCTACCTAATCTGTTAAAATTTAGAAAGGTTTTTGTTAGCTGTATTGATGTGAGTGATACACCTAAGAACAGATCTAATGAATAGCTCGCTGAGCTGATGGTTTCAGTCATGAAAAATAACAGTATAGCATGATTTTATATGTTCCTGCATGTATTTATTTGTAGTTGGAAGATCCAGTGTCTTTGATATGGTGTATCTCTGTATGCAAGAAGTTGCAAACCTCTTGATTAGTAAAAGCAGAACACGTTGGTAGGCAGTTAATATGCTATTGAACACCAACAAGTAACTGAAAACTGGGCCTAGCGTGTTACCTGATAGATAAAGACATAAACAGAATACATTGAACTTAACTCTAGTAGGTGCTTAGAGTTTGAAAATACTAAATATAATAATAAATCTTAAGTGGTGATCTTCCTTTGCTAATAACTATGACTAATTTACTTTTTAATTTTTTTGGCATGGAGAAATTTTAATGCATATTTGTGCATGCTCTGTTCTGTTTGAAATCCTTTTTGTCTTAATTACAGTCCAGAAAAAGCTTGGCTTCATTTCCAACCTATGTTGAAGGTAAGATAGTTTTACAATTTCTAAATGTTTTTTCATTTCAAAAAAACTGCAATATTTTTAATGCATAAGATTTTATTTGCTGAATAGAAAATCTGCTAGGGTTGGTATACTGATTTAGATTAAACTGTGTCCAATCTGGAACCTGAGCTAAATCCTACTATGGTCTTTCAGAAGTTCAGAAACATGGAGGTTTTACTTTTTTAGTATTTCATTCGTAGTTTCTGTCTCAGTTCTGCTGGTTTTTTATCAGTATTGCTTAGAACACTACTAATTTTTTTTTTATGGTATTTACACAACTGTGGTGGTTTGGATGGATTCACCCTTTTGGCTTGCACCTTGCAGCCAAACACAGCCTGCTCTCTCACCCTCCCCTGCCCTTGCCCAGGGAGTAGGGGAGAGAATTGGAAGGAAAAGGGCAAGGAAGCTCACACATTGAGATAAGAACTATTTACTAATTAAAGTAAAATTATAATGATAACAACAATGATAACAAAATATACAAATGAGTGATGCACAGTGCAATTGCTCACTGCCTGCTGGCTAGTGCCCAGCCTGTCCCAGCCAGTGATCCCGGAGCTGGGACCGCCCTGAAACCCAAACCCCAGAGATAGTCCAGAAACCAAAACCTCAGAAGAGCGAGCCCAAGCGATCCCCAAGAGAATCCCCCTGTCTTCTGGTCATCCCTGGTTAATACACTGACATGATGGGATGTGATATGGAATATCTCATTGGCACATCCAAATGCCAGTTGGGGGTTTGCTATTCACTGCGCTTCTCCCTCCCAGTCCTAACGCAGCTGTGAACCAGCCAAACACGGTGGCCTGGAGCTCCAGCAGCAACTGATAACATCAGCACTTTTATCAGCGTTCTTCCCATAACAAATCCTACACTGAAACTAAAACACAGCTATTCTAACTACTAAGAAGAAAATTAATTCTATCCTGGCAAAACCAGGATGACAACACATGTGAATGTGTGTGGACAAGGAAACAGGGTAGGCAAGAAGACTGTTGTGCTCTCTCCAGCACTGATTTCAATTGTCAGGCTCAATCCAATCTCAGTTGGATTAATTAGCAGAATTTAATTCATTGGATTAATTTGGAGATCTGCTAGAGGAAATCCGCACTGCTTTACAGCTACTTGTCCTCTGATTAAATAGCGCTCCCTGTCTTAGAGTTAAGGTTGCGCTTGTACTAGTGCTGAGTTTATTCTGAACAATGTGAAAAAGCAAATCACCTGCTACATGAACTGCTGTTACCTTTTGTATGATTCTACATCCTGTGTATGCAGGAAGACTGCATGCTGCAAAACTCAGTTATTTTGTTATGAGAGCATGACAGAAGCAGAAAATTCAGAGTTTCGTTTGCATTTTTTTCCCCTGACAACGATTGTCCCTTATGCTTCCTGAAATGCCAGAGAGAGAGTTGATGTGATAAATAGTTTGGACTGTCTTGGAACTCCTTGGATTACTTTACAGTGTGCTGTGTTTCAACGATTATGTGATCATTCACTTTAGACTACAAAATGATCGTTGGTTTAGTCTTCAGTGTATGAGCTGCTTATTTTGGAGTCTGTGGCTAGAATGTCAACTAATGTAAATTTCATATGTTGTTTTGAAACTAGTTGAGCTTTGGAATTTTGCAGCAATGAAGGATCTCTCTTAGAGCTGAAATTCACCTCCTAGTGCTAGCCCTGTCTATCAAGGGCTATCTTAAATAGTCCTCCCCTCCTTAAAAAAAAATTTATAAGCTAAAATTTACTTAGATCTTGGTCCAGTGCAAAATGCTTTAAAAAAAATAATTTTCCATATTTATGCACTAACAGTCCACGAAAAACTTGCTAGCACCTATGCTACACTTCCATTCAGATAATAATTTCATTATCAGAGGTGTTGAGTGGAAGGGGTCTTATAAAAAGCAGTGCTGTCTGTGTGTTCATCTCTGATGAAAATAGAGCACATACCTTTTTTGCTTCCAGGAGTCTTATTTGCACCTTTGTCATTCTATACTTATGTTTTTTGTGTTTTGGTCAGAAATTGTACTATAAAGGGTTTTGTAAAACCCAGTTATTTTGTTATGAGAGCATGACAGAAAATTCAAAGTTTCATTTGGATTTTTTTCCCCTGACAGCGATTGTTCCATATATTTGGTGAAATGCCAGAAATGGGTTTTGTACCCTTTATAGTGAAGTGGTGAAAAGACCTTGACATGTGGAGTAACAAACGGCAACACTTAAAATGCTGTATGGTTTCAGGACTAGACGAACGTGCAAAACATAGTACTTCCAAATACATTAACTTCCCTAAGGAAAAAATTCCATTTCTTTGAGTCATGTACTTGAAAGAGAATTGTTAATTTTGGTAGTTTTCCAGATACGTAGTATCTGAACCAATTCTGCGTACTGGAGATGAGCATCTTAAAATTACCAGTCATAAATTTTCATATTTAAAGAAATCATAATGGAGACAAGCTTGCTTATAAGATTTGTACATCTGCTTCTCTCTCTGTGTATGCTTTCAGTGTGATAGTTATCTCCAGCTCTTTCTTTTGTTATTTTAATCTTAATAATGTCTTGCATTTCTTTAGGGACAAAGTTACTCATGCTCATTCTGAGTGGTTGTTAATCTCTTCTTTCATAATCAGAACAAAATTGGCATTCTGAGTAATGTTAAACTTTAAACCCCATCATCTTAAATCTCAAGATACCCCTTGAACTAATAAAAACTCCATTGTAGGGTTTTTGCTTTGTTTTTAGAGGAAAAAAAGGCAAACCTAAAAACAGTTCATTTTTTTTGGTGATAAAATGTGGATACTTTTACCACTAGTGTTCTTTAAGATGAGTTGCATTTTCACTTGTCTTGAACATCAATTGTTTTTTTCTGCTTGTAAGAAAATGAGAAGCTTCGTAGGTTAACCAGCCTCCCTTTTGGATCATGACTATTTTAACATGTAGCAAGGTGTTTAAATACATTTTTATGTAAACATTTTTTATTTATAATCACCAAACACCAAAAAACGTACAGCTCATAAATGCTGCATTGTAAGGATTTGCATTATTAGGCACTGAACAGTTCAACACCCTCTGACTTTCCACAGAACTTAATCAGAGTCAGGTCGTTAAGAATCTGTGGGACTGTGTATTTAACAACGTTTTTATTTAATTCTGTACTTGACCTCAATATCCTTGTTGAGACTAAGGATGATTTTTAAAGGTCTGTGGCATAAAAATACTTTGCTTAATTGAGCAATCAGTCTTCTTGGTAAGGGGAGACATGTTGTACCTGTAAAGCATTCCCAGGGAGGTTCCTCAGCCTGTTTTACTGACTGTGGCTAACGTACAAGTGAGCAAGTGGCTGATAGCTGTCATTGAATTGCACCCTTTCTCTCTGTAACTGTTGGTCTTAGAATTGCAAGGCTGGTTTTGGTGGATAAGGGACAAACTGAGTAACTGTTTGTCTCTTTATAACAGTGAAAGCCCAGAGAGATTATTTTGCTCCAGGGTGATCCCTGCTCAAGCTATTGTGAGGGACAGGCTGGTTTAACAACTATGGCTTTTGCTGGAGAGGTATTGAGAGCATTTGCTTGGTGTTTTGTACCTTTGAAAGAACTGGTTGCTGTATCATTATGCTAAATGTATATTTCAGAGGGGATTTGCAGCCATCAGGTGCAGGCTCAAGTTGTCAGAGTGCTTCTGTTTTGCTGTGGTTTAGCATGATTTTTTTCAGTGATTGCCTTCCTGTGTTACAGTTCCTGGACCTTGTGATCCTGAAGACTTAATTGATGGAATCATTTTTGCTGCCAATTACCTTGGCTCAACTCAGCTCCTTTCTGATAAAACTCCTTCCAAGAATGTGAGAATGATGCAGGCTCAGGAAGCTGTCAGCAGGATCAAGGTAAGGAATAA